AAATATATATTTGATATGTATATTTTTTTGGTCTCTTTTAGGGGTCAAAAAAAGCTTGGGCCACGCCCAGATCGGTCTCCTTTAGGGGTTTAATTCAAAATTTCCGACAAGCATCCCCACCCCTTTCATATGCGGAGCCCACTCCCGGGTAAGGTTTGCTCATGTACATTGAAGCTGTTAGACTTGTTAAACGGTATGTACCTTTGAGCCATCAATCTTCATGACCAGCGTCCAAATACCGCCGCTACATGGTCCAAGAATAGTTTCATTTATTTTGCAGTAGACAACGATTTTTCCATATACTGCAATCCGCTCATACGATATCATTTCTCTGGATCTAAAATGAAATAAACAATCAGTTTTACTCTAATTGCAAGGGTCCTGGCATCTGAAAGTTTCTACCGTTCTACTCACAACGGAGTTCTGAATGACTTTCTAGTTACGGATTTCTGCTTCAAACATTTTTATCAATTATATTTGTTATACTTACATCAGTAATAGTTTCTACAAGAAATTCGATCAATTAAAGATGTCAGCAAAATGTTTTACTAGCTGCTATTTTCTTGAAACGTAGGGTCCAATTAACCCTTTAAACCCTGAGATCAAAATATGAATTCTCATGTTGGCCCTGTTCATTTCCTACAGAAGTAGTGGGGAGAAGTTGATAAAATGTCAAGCAAATTCATCTTGTGTGATGATGTCCGCAATTCTCAAGACCACTCTGTTTTACAAAGCGTTGATATTACGAGGAGAAACTTGATGCTGATCGGTGTCCTTTCTGCTATCTGAGAGCCTGGAACAGGCCACTGCCTGAGTTTTTCTCATGGTACTTACATAGCGCGATGGTATAGTTCTTCACACGAAATTGCTGCGTAATTAAAGACAAAACAATTAGGAAAGAAGTGTTAAGATGCTACACGTATATATAGAAAACTACTGAATATGCGAAATATCNTCATATTTAGCCGTGAAGGTCTCGTTTAGGGTTGCACGCGAAAAAATATAAAAATATATATTTGATATGTATATTTTTTTGGTCTCTTTTAGGGGTCAAAAAAAGCTTGGGCCACGCCCAGATCGGTCTCCTTTAGGGGTTTAATTCAAAATTTCCGACAAGCATCCCCACCCCTTTCATATGCGGAGCCCACTCCCGGGTAAGGTTTGCTCATGTACATTGAAGCTGTTAGACTTGTTAAACGGTATGTACCTTTGAGCCATCAATCTTCATGACCAGCGTCCAAATACCGCCGCTACATGGTCCAAGAATAGTTTCATTTATTTTGCAGTAGACAACGATTTTTCCATATACTGCAATCCGCTCATACGATATCATTTCTCTGGATCTAAAATGAAATAAACAATCAGTTTTACTCTAATTGCAAGGGTCCTGGCATCTGAAAGTTTCTACCGTTCTACTCACAACGGAGTTCTGAATGACTTTCTAGTTACGGATTTCTGCTTCAAACATTTTTATCAATTATATTTGTTATACTTACATCAGTAATAGTTTCTACAAGAAATTCGATCAATTAAAGATGTCAGCAAAATGTTTTACTAGCTGCTATTTTCTTGAAACGTAGGGTCCAATTAACCCTTTAAACCCTGAGATCAAAATATGAATTCTCATGTTGGCCCTGTTCATTTCCTACAGAAGTAGTGGGGAGAAGTTGATAAAATGTCAAGCAAATTCATCTTGTGTGATGATGTCCGCAATTCTCAAGACCACTCTGTTTTACAAAGCGTTGATATTACGAGGAGAAACTTGATGCTGATCGGTGTCCTTTCTGCTATCTGAGAGCCTGGAACAGGCCACTGCCTGAGTTTTTCTCATGGTACTTACATAGCGCGATGGTATAGTTCTTCACACGAAATTGCTGCGTAATTAAAGACAAAACAATTAGGAAAGAAGTGTTAAGATGCTACACGTATATATAGAAAACTACTGAATATGCGAAATATCTTCAAGATGTGATACTTAGTTGAGCATTATTACAAGACATCAACCAAAGAGTAGTCTTGATCGCCTACAAATTGCATTGTGCTAAAATCCCGTAGTCGATTCTTCACAATTAACTACGTACCTTAGCGAGTTTTCAATTTACAAAGAAAGTTTTATCTCTATTTTAGTTATAATTGAAGAAACTCTATGAGAAGTGAGTTTTTTAAGAAGAGCTAATTTCTCTGCCTATTGCCTTATCAGCCTATCATCCCTGTGTCAAAGATATGAGTAAATATATGAAAATGGGGCTCTCAATAGCGCGTGTAGTTGCCATTTACAGACTGATCGGTAGATATTTTGGCTTTTCTAGGGCTAAAAAGTTAATTTTTCTTCATTTATTACAGTTTATAGGCATCTAAAGAAGAAAGGTCATTTCTTTTCCAAAAAATATCTAAATTTTTCATTGGTCAGGATCTTTCCAGCCCGTTAGTAACCTCCCGCATGAGTCCATAACTCCATGGTTGCACTCTGCAGGTTTACGATTTCATAACTGTCATCACGAAGTTGATGGTGCTGCATCGCTATTTTGGATTTTCTATTTCTCGTAAGATGTAAAATATAGTGGCGGATCTAGGGGAGGGGCATGGGGAGTCCCCCCCCGCCCCCCCCCCCTGCCGTGTTCGCGACATGTGCAGGCCACGGCCGCCGCCAAGCGTTTTTGTGGACGCACCACCGCTCCCCTGCCCCCCGGCATGCGCCCGCACCACCCCGCACCCCCCCCC